CCTTCTTGGCAACAAGGGCACCCTGCTGGCTCATGGTCAGCTTGTCATCCACCAGGACTCCCAGGTCCCTCTCAGCAGAGCTGCTTTCCAGCAGGTCATTGCCCAGCCTGTACTGGTGCATGGGGTTAAACCTCCCCAGGTACAGCCTACAGAGGACCCCACGCTGGAGCAGGGGGATGTACCCAAAGGAGGCTTTGACGCCATGGGAAGCTCGTGCTGGAGCAGGCTCCTGGTAGGAGATGTGGCCCTGTGGGGAGAGGAGCCCAGGCTGGAGCAGGTTTGCCGGCAGGGCTGCTCCTGAGGGACTGCACCCTGTGGGAAGGAGGGACCCACGCTGGAGCAATTCCATGGGAAGAGCCCACATTGCAGAAGTTCATGGAGGACTGTCTGCCGTCGGAGGGACCCCACACTGGAGCAGGGGAGGAGAGTGAGGAGTCCTCCCGCTGAGGAGGAAGGAGCAGCAAAGACAACGTGTGATGAACTGACCCCAACCCCCATTCCCTGTCCCCCTGTGCCACTCGGGGAGACAATCTGGAGTGAGGTTGAGCCTGGGAAGAAGGGAGGGGTGGGGGGAAGGTGTTTAAAGATTTGGGTTTATTTCTCATTATCCTACTCTCATTTGATTGGCAATAAATTAATTTTTTTTCCCAAGTTGGGTCTGTTTTGCCCGTGACATTAATTGGTGAATGATCTCTCCCCATCCTTATCTCAACCCACGAGCCTTTCAATATATTTTTTCTCCCCTGCCCAGCTGAGGAGGGGAATGATAGAGCAGCTGGGTGGTACCTGGTGTCCAGCCAGGGTCAACCCACCACAAATTCTTACTTTTAGAAGATTCTTTATCCATGCTACAGTCTTACTTTTATGGGTTCACATATTACAGGGAGGCATCTGCCATTTATCAAGACATTAATGACCAGTAGTTACGTGTCCAGATACTTTGTAACCACTGAGCTGCCTGACAACAGAGGTTACCAGAAGACAGATGACTTACAAACTGGTTTAAAAATCTCCTTGCACGTTCTCTTTTTAAGAGCACCAGCAGGGCTTCGAACCTTCTGATATTTCTGTATTGGGATTATTGTCCCTTCTTTAAGATTCCTTATACCAGGAGGCTTCCATGATTTACTGGTAGTCTTCAAACAAAAAAAAAAAAAACTCCTAACAGAACATCCATTGATTGCTACAGTTATTTAAAGGCTAACAATAAAAAATCATAGACTTCAGTCTCCATCAAGGCAGAAAGGAAACAGTAATTGCAATTTGTGAGCCTCCTGCCATGGGTAAAGGAGCTCAGGCTGGGAGAAAGGAGGCTGGCACAGCAGACCTGGGTGAGAGGTGCCGATTCATTCATACGTCATCCTGCGAATAGAGAACCTGTCAAGGTGGAAGGATGTGCGTGAGGTAGAAGTGTGCCCAAAGGAATATCAGCTCTGAGGAGGACCACCAGATAAAAGCATGAATGTACATGAAGTTGTACGAGAGTGTATTTGGTGGCTGCTAGGTAGACAGACATCAAAAGAAAAGACCTTTTCTGCAGATATAACAGCAAATAATGTGGTATCTTACACCATGTGTTTTGCCATACCTAAATCTTGGATTAAAAAAAAAAAAAAGTAATATGAGTGTTAACATAGTAATATGCATTATTCACCTCTTTCTTCTGCCGAATGAAAGGAAGGAGGCAGTGGGACAGCCACATCTTCTAGGAGTTGCCTTCCACTGTAACCAAGGGCAGGTAGCAGTGATGTGAGATTTAAAAAATAAATAAATAAAATAAATAAAAACGGGGATATGAACTAGCAGATTCCTAGGTTGGAAAATGTTTGCTCTGCCTTTAATACTGTGAGGTCCCATCAAACCTCGATCAAGCTCCTCCTCTTCCTGCTCTTCTCCACTCTGCATTCTCAGTTTGATAAGGTGGGGATTGGTACCGGCCTCAAAGATCAGGGATGCCCTAGATCAAGAATGAAACATGAAGAACTTTTTCTCAGTTTTTAGCAGTCTCAGAGCCGAATTTCCCTTCCACCGTCTGATTTAGAAATACACATAGGTGTATCTGGACTAATCACCGTGAGACCACGTGCACATAAAAGAGGACATGAAAGAGGAGCTGACTGCCAAACTTTATAACGGATGAGTCTGAAAGTCATTTGTTCTTCCCTAGCATCACACAGAAGGACTAATACATGCATACATACATGGAGTATTCAGCAGTTTGCTTATTACAGATCTGATTTTGCTGTTGTTAAATCAGAAGGGAGTTTTTCCTCTGACTTTGCTGAAGGGTAGATCCAGCCCATTGTATATAAAGATAATTCATTAAATGTAATTCTGTATTGTCTCTCTTCTTTTTCAGAATGCTTGAGGATGATCTGAAACTCAGCAGTGATGAAGATGACAATGAACAGGTAAATACATCTCATATAAGTGCATAGACCATATAAAAAAAGTTGTTTCATCGGTTGAATGTGATTTCATGTTGGTTTTCTGTATTTGCATCAAAAGCACTTTGGGGTGCTGTAGAATCTGTTAGCTTAAATCTTGCTTGTGCCCAGAAGCTCTGTGGGAGCACACTTATTCTTAAATAGGAATGCATTTTGTCAGTTTTGCTGAATTAACTTTGTGAAGTTGATTAAACTAAACTAAAACATGACTTACTAGACTTGTAATAAGAGACCGCACATGGCATCACCCAGGAATAACTAATGTGCTCTGAGCTTCTGTCCTGCATTGTAGCAAACTTACTGTGGAACAGCCTCCACCTGACCACATCAGACCACTATCACAACTGCAGAGCTGGTTTGCACTTTGCAATTCATTTGTACAATTGCACCCCAAAAGATTGGGTCCATAAGTTTTGTTCCAGTCAGTGAGTAAAAGGCTGGGAGTCCATAGTTAGTAATCCAGTGATTCCCATTTGTGAGAGGGAAAATCCTCAGTGTGTAGCTGTTAATCAGTACTGAAAGTCTCTCAACCTACTTGGGATGTTAATGAAGAATCATTTTCAGAAAACTGGCTCATGTCATTCTCTATCCTTACCACTTTATAAATATTTATGGATAATGCTGGGAAGTAAAGCCAGTGAAATTCGTATTTTCAACATTCTTATCAGAAAAAAAAGAAGAGGCTTTGGGTTAAATTCATCTTTCATGTTACTTTATATATGCAATAGGTTCAAATGTGTAAACGTCTGCAATAGAGAGGAAGGTAATTCTACAGTTCAGCATAAGATCATCTGTTCAGCCTGGGAACTGTTAATTATAAGTCAATCTTTCTTTCTTATTTATTTTTAAACCACCTAAATGTTCACCTTCAGCCTACCTAATCCATCCTTTAGGGCATTGCAAGGAAAGATTTACCTTCTGGTGTCAGTTGACCCCTTAGTCATACAAGTCAGTAATTTTTAGCACCACAACAGACTTGTGCTCTCATCTGAAGCCAAAGGATCAAAAGCCTGTACTTGAGCAATGCGCTGTTGTACAAATATGGTGGCTTAGGAAACCAGCAGGTTTCCTGATCTGTTGGAAACTTGCCCAAATAGTCCTGTAAAATGACATTGTGATACTGTGATGTCCAAAATATAGAAACAGAAATATATTATCAGGTAGGAGTTACTTTTGTTTTCCTACAGTAGTAGTTTTCTAGTGACTTAAGTAGAATTATTCCAGATCTGCACAATTTACACTGCTAAGATGAAATCGAGTATCATTGCTGAGAGAAGAAGCAAATGCCTGGACCAGTGTTTACTGACATCAAACACAAAGCCCTCACTGACCTGCATAGGTGTCATCTCTCATGTTAACCCCAAGAGGAAGGACGTGGTTATGTCTACAGTGGAGTATTGAGACCTCTCCAAACATCATTGCTGTCGTGCGGTACTTGCGTGCCTCTTACCCAAAGGCACCATGACGCTCGTGCACAGTGTCACATTGCTGCCAGTTCAGGATCTGCAGCCTGAGTCCTTGTGCGGTGGTGATGTGCCCGAGCCGTAGGAAGCCTCAGACTGCTCCAAAACTCCATGTGACTTGCCAGCAATACCATTCACAGCATAAGCTGCAGAGGGTCAAGAGAGCACGATAAGGACCGTTCATGTAGTTTCTCAAAATTTTACAGTACATAGAAAATGTTTTTCCTTTTGGCAGTGTGAGCTTCATCTCTCTCGAAGTGATTAGAATTGATTCAAATCTCCTAAGCTCTCCCAAATTCCTTCTTAGGAAACAGGTTATGGTCTGAATGTTTAAGGATTCCAAGCATGAACACTTCCAGTCACGTAAAACATAAATGAACTGTCTGGACAGGAAGCACGCTGAGCATACTTCTTAAATGCCCTGCACTTCAAGGGAAACCGTCACCTCTCCTGTGTTACCCCCCATATGTATAGTTGTACCTCTTTTATTTGTATTACAAATAGAGGGTATAGACAAAGTTATACACATTCCAGGAAAGAATCCCGCAGCTTTGTAGGTTTCCTGAATGAATGACTGTATGTGTCTGTCCTTTAGATTTTTGTCACACACTGCATCCCAGACTGAGGCCTTGCAAAGCTGAGCAGCACGGCTCTGCTGCATCAGTCACGCATTCCACTGGCGGTGCCTTCACACTTTAGCAGCTTCTGCCATATCTCTTTAAAGAAAGGTGATTGGAAATGGAAAGAAAGGTTGATCTGGCCCACTGGTCAGACACATAAATATCAACAAAGTAACTTCAATGGTTTTTGACTGCAAAATATTTTTTCAAAAAAATATATAAAATATTCAAGAGGGACAGGTCAAGGCAATTACAATATGTGAATTCTGCAATGTTGAGTGTTCAGCTGTGGAGCCCAAGGTTAGAAAAATACTTTTCTTTTTTTTAACATAAAGCTTTTGCAATGAAATGACCATTGTAATTCAGCTGCACACACGTGTGCATTCTGACAGGGAAAGAAAAGATTACAACTCTCAGCTCAAAACCATTCTAACAGTTTCTGCCACATTACTGTAAGAAAATGGAACCATCGTCTTTACAATCTTTCTGATTTTTTTTTTTTTGCTACAGGCTTGCAACCAGTGTGAAGCACGATCTGGCATTTATTCATTTTTATTAATAAAAACACAGTATGTAAAAATCAAGTTTGTTATCTTTATCTCTGCTCATATTTCAAGGAAATTGAAATTCTTTGAGAACAGTGGTCGGTAGGGAGCCCTGGGATTTGTCCTCTGAGAATTGCTAGGGACCCTTCAATCTTTACATGGCAGGGGTGGTAGTGACACTGATCCATAAATGTGCCTTGATCTCAACTTCTAGTGAATGTCTATAGTATGTGGAGAGAGTTTGATCTATCAGCCTGTCTTCTGAGACTACCAGTAGTCCGTTTGTCATGGTGGAAGATTGTTAGAAGCTTGTCTGCAAGAAACAAAGCTCTTCTGTCTTATTCTCTCACTCCTATAAATGAGCACACTTATTTCTGATCTGTATTGCATTAATTTAGGGGTCTATGGACCTCGTGCTCTTTCAGGTGTTAAACATTTCCTGCCTTTTCTCCCCAGTGCTGAGAAGAAACCCAACACACATGATAGCTCCAGTCAGTCATATAATTAAGAAGTTGAGCCTGATTTCTGGATGAGATAAGAACAACCAGGTTGAAGTCAGTGGAAGGTATTTATTCTGTAGATAGCATTAGCCAGGCTGTTACTGAATATGCTGCCCACTTTCAGCATTCACTTTTCAAACAGGATTTTGAATAACTAGAAATTGTTCCTGAGAATTATAAACATGATCTGGAGAACCCTCCTTAATATAAGTGTTTGATCTTTTTTGTTTCAGCCAAAAGGAGTTAAGGCACACATGATGATGGCCTAGCAATATATCACCAAGAAAAAAATTCCTAAAAGGCTTTAATTTTACCCCAAAGGGCTTAAGAGGCTTCAGCAAGTAAGAACTGACTGCAAATCCAAACTACTAAGTGTCAAACTGCTCCAAATTGCATGGGAACCTTGTGGTTTCCCTCTCCTTTTAGACTTCTGGCGGTTGTGGGCTTGATGTAGAAGTTGTCAGATGAATTTCTTTGGGCAGTGACTTGCAGGAGGTCCAATGACATGTTCATTGCAGGTCCCTTCAGACTTCAGATCTGTAAAGCTTTGGACCATATTGATCTTTGCAATAGAGCGTGGGGCAAGTTACAATTCACTCCACTCCAGCTGCAAACTCCCGTCATAACTTTCTGGGCCTCGCTTGGAGAGATCGCAGTTATCGCCTACATCTAACACATGTAAACACAGCCCACGGTATCTTCGGTGTAGACACTTTGGAGCTGGCCATGTGATACATGCTTTGTCCCATAGACAAAATGCTGATTCTTATGTCTCATTGCGGGTGATTTGGGATTAAAGACACACAGCAAATGACGGGTTAGATCTGGAATCAATTTTCATTTACAGCTGAGAAGCAGTTATTGATGCTGTGCTCACAGTTCAATAAAAGATCTAAAGATATAGACCTTGTGTTTCTCTTTCAATATAAGCAGCATAATCAGTCTCAAATGTTTTTACAAAGAAAATTGTATTGACAGTTTTATTAAAATTGCTGTCTTTAAAGTTTTAAGTTATCCACAATTTGACCTACTTGAATGGTTTTTAATATGCACACTGACCAACCCAATAGATTTTTATGTCACATATTTACAATCCCAGGTACATATCTGTTTAATGTATTATTTGAGAGATATTGTTACATTTAAGCATTGCCTGGATTCTAAACTCTTGTAGTATTGTCACTGAGACGAACGTTGGCGTATGCATCAGTATTGCATTCCAAAGTCCTACTGCACAATATTTTTCGATTGGCTACGAGAGATACAGTCAAGGCAGATGACAGACATGTTTATTAGTAAAACCATTAGATTACAAGGCATTTCAGAGATGCTAACGTTAACGGTCTTCTGTGAGGAAGGACAGAGCTTTTAGATGGCTTTATTACTCTCTTAAAAAAATACATCAGAAATTAGGAATAGTAGTGAAGATTTTTAATTAGTAGCTCGGTTCAGCTAAAAGAGCTTAGATAAAACACAGGTTAGTATTTTTGTTCTTTAAAGCACCTCTGTATAATTCAAATTGGCTTTGAGCTCAAAGGCATCCAAATGAGTTGTGCCTGGATACGGTATCTTAAGTAGCTGTAGTGTACCAAATTTTCTTTAACCCGCTCCTCTTTGTTCTTCTGCCTAAGGAATAGTCCTGTTAACCTTTGAAACACGTACTTAATTTAAAGCACATTGCTAGCGTTCTGTGTGGTTTTGAACCAAAGAAACTTTGATACTAGTTACAGACCTGCTCCATTTTCACTATTTTATATATAGAGTGGTTTTGGCAGAACAAATCAATAAGATGTTTTTCTTTTCTATTTGATTTTTTTCCCTCCTTCCCTTAGTGAT